TATAATATTATATATATTTATAAAATTAATTTAAAAAAAAAAATTTTTTAAAATTTTAATTTTTCATAAAAGTAAATTAGAAGGGAATTGATAGTAAATAAGCAGATAAATTTACCTGTGAATCTCTACAGTTTAAAGAATACCATGATATTTCCACATCTTGTTATAAAATATAAATAAAAAGAAATACTGCTCTTAATGAATGAAAAATTGCTAATAACATTAAAGAAGACTACACAATCCCTTGGGTCTCCTCTGGTTTTCTACACTCCTTTTCTCTTCCTATAATATTAAATCTCACCTCCTTAATAAGGCTAACACCTATAGCTCCTATTGGTCAAATTTTTGGAATAGCAGTAATCACGCTTTTCCTTTTAGATGTTTGATAATTATATAATAGTTCAGTCTAATTTAGGTTTTCTTTTCTTTTCTTCTCTATTTATAGTTTAGTTTGGTAAAGTGCAAGGCTGGTATTGATAAAGTAGTTTCGTTATAAATTAATTTATAGATATTTTTGTATTTCTGTTTTATTATATGTACCTAATATTTATAAATTTAATAAAGATCATGTAAAACTACTGCATTAAAAAAAAAATTCAACATTTCACATAACTGTTAATATAAAATTGATCTTCATTCGACATTTCACATAACTGATAAAAAACCATGCGATATGCAAATTACATATATATTTAAATTATTTTTTTTTTAACTTAATTTGTATTTATTGTTTTCTAGCAATCATTATTTTAGAAGAAGAAAGATTTATAATTTATTTAGTGATATTGGGTATAACAGTCAGTATGCATGTCCACTGATCACTTTGTGTAACATTTTTAACTATAGGATCTGCAAGGTACATTTATAATAGAAAATTTAAAATTATATAGAAAAATGCAAATTTTGTCAACTTTTTCTTATATGCATTAAGGGATGTTATATATGTAATACATAATGTAAAGTGGTTTGGCTTACAGTTCGAAAGTAAATTTATACATTCATACTTGCTGTTTTTTTTTTCTTTACAAGAATCTCAGTATTAAAATTAATATAAAATTCAGTTTATAACTTAAATTTAATATAGAAAAAAATTTGGTTTTTAAAAGAAAAGTCCCTTTATATTCTAATAGTCAAAAGAATTTTGGTATAACCTCAACTACTCAGTTTTATAAACTGACTAATATTGTTAATACAAGTTAGCCTTTGATAAATAAGCATATAATGAATTTCTTAACTTAAAAATAATTGAATTTAACCAAGAAAACTATAATAATGTAAATCAATATTTAAACAAGAAGCTGCAAGTGATGATGATAATAGTTTTGAAATAGATTTTGAAGACCAAGTTTTTCTTTCACTTCTATTAATATCTATTGTTCTTTTACCTCTATCAACATCCATTACTCTTTTACCTTCATCAATATCCATTACTCCTTCATCTCCATTAACATCTGTTACTTCTTTATCTCCATTAATATCTGTTACTCTATCAGTATCTATTGAAGAAGTTGTATATAACCTTGACTTTACTGTAAATATACATTTTTTACCATATATTTTAATTGATTATATAGATAATAAATTACAAACTTGTGGTCAAACTATAAATCTTAAAAATATATATCAATTAGTTAGAACCTGACAAATTGATGAAAATGTAGTATCAGAGTTTTAATTAAAAAAATATTATTAGGAGTATATATGAAGTATTTTAATTATAATCAAAAGAATCATAAAGCATTTGTAAAGCAGTTACGAAGGCCTAAACAAAGTAGGATTTGCCACTGATACTATTTATTTTGTCATAAGAATTTTTATTTTTTTAGTTGTAGAATTGAATGTAAAAATCATTTATGAAATATATGAAGTAAAAACATTCAAATTCCATGTATTGTCTTTTTACATGTAATGCAATATATGAATGCCAGGATGTTTCCAAATAAATTTTCAATAAAGTTACAACAACTCGATATATTTATTACAATTGTTATAAACTTTATGGTAAGCATTTAAATCGTCAATCTGAATCTAGCAAGCGAATAGTTACTTATAAATAACGTGAACTACATAATGATAATACATCTAAAGTTTAGAATTATTAGCTCAATGGCTCAAACATGTAGCATGTAATGAAATAGAAGAAAAAAAAATTATTTTAGCTTCTATGTTAGTTCTGGCTTTAAATTTTTTATTTGTCTCATCTGAATTTTTTTCTTTAAACCATGAATATTATTTTCTTAGAAACAATATATGTTATTCAAATCTTAATGAGTGCGTCAATAAAAAAGATTCACAAATAATTACAATTTTATTAAGATTACCTAGTTATTTCTTTTTAAGATTATTATTTAATATTAATCATATAGTCAAAATTATATATCTAAAATTAGACTGGACAGCTGAAAAATGAAAAGAAATTGAAGAAAATTAGGAAATAAAATATAAAATGCACGTAAAATTATTATAGCAAATAAGTAGGAAATACAATTACCAACCTCTCTTTATACATATTATGCAAGTTTTCCAAAATTTTTAACAGGATTTTTTGATAGGATT